GATCCAACTCAGGGCCTCGCATATGATAGGAGAGCACTCTACCACTAAGCCACAATCCCAGCCCTCAAACCCCAAACTTTTAAGTTCCTTGTATTTGATAGAGTTATCTTCCTCCTGAATAAAAAATCAGGAGATTTGGATCCCTTGCCCCTTCTCAAGGATTTTTAAGCACACGCAGATACAGTATGTCAGAATCTTCAATTTATTCATTCTGTGGTTAACAACTTTTCTATCCTAAAACTCCTAGCACCAAGATCTAAGCACATCTCTTGAATAAGTTCCACCCCCAGTGGGGAGCTAGATTTACTACTTTCTCTTTCTTATTTTGGTACTGGGGATTGAATCCAAGGCCTCACCCATACCAGAAAAGCACTTTACCACTGTGCCAAATCCCCAGCCCTGGACTTACTACTTCTGACACCAAAGGAGACATGGTAGTTGTTTCTTCCAAGTCACTCACATCTGAGGTGCTCCACAAGCCCTCCTTGCTGGTCTCTGGCTGAGGGATGTTTGTCTCTTTCTCTTCATAATAATACTGGATCAGATGCTGTACACCAGCCTTTAATGCTGGTTTAAGTGCAGCACTGATCACTAGACCTGTGGGCCCTCCTGACAGTCCTGCCATGGTCATCAAAAGGTCATAACCCAGATCTAGGGCTCCATCTTGACCTCGTTCCTTGGCCTTGTCAGAGCAATTCTGAATGGCATAGTAGAAAGCTGTGCCCAGGTTATAGTAGGTTCCTACTCCTGGCAATAGACGGATGACATTATGCACACTTTGCTCCTGCTCATTCTCACAGTCCTTAGTGGAGAAGGAGCGTCTCACCCTCTTTTGCCCTGGCTGCTCCCTGGCTAACAGTTGCAGAACAGAGGAGAGGGCTTCCACTGACACTCTGCTGTCTGTACTTCTGCCTTTCCGGAGCCTTTGAAGATGGTGAATGAGGCCCTCTGTCGCATTCACACCACCCCAGCGATAGAGCTGAAACTGTAGGGCCCAGGCATCAGATTGGCAGCCAGCTTCCTCCAAGGCGTTCCTTAGAGCCAGGCCTACTAGGAACTTGGATAGAGGAGCCATGTGGGCAAAACCAGGTAGAGACTTTGGATGTAGATTCTGGCAAGACATGGAGCCTGAGAAGAGTGGAGGGGATCCCAAGGATGAGGAAAGGTGCATAGAGACATTTGTCTGCTTTCTATATGAAATGGCATCCACAGAATGCAGCAGGTGGTAGCAAAGAAGAAGCTCAACTGGTATCATGATGAATCTGAAGCCATACATGTCTGAAGCAGAGTACCCTGGAAAAGGGAGAAATCCAAAACATAATCAACCATTTCTCTAAGGGCTATAGTCTGAAAGGAGCTCAAGACTCACTTAAAGGACACATGCATCATCTATCACCTACCTCCAGACTTCTGTTCCTTTTTTAAAAAAATCTTCTCCTGAGATACTGGGGGGTTGAACCTAGTGGAGGTCTACAACTGAGCTGCATCCCCAGTCCTTTTTATTTTGCGATACAATCTTACCAATACTGGTTTACAAATATGCAATCCTCCTTCCTCAATCTCAGATAGTTAGAATTACAGGCTTGTGCCACTGTGCCTGGCTAAAGCCTCTATTTTCAATTCAGGGCTTAGGAAATGGGAAATGCAGCCCAGTTGCTCCCACCTGGTTTCTCCCGTTTTCAGGTCACAGGGAATTCCTTTGTTTTATTTCCACCCACTTTTAGAGGCCCCAAATTACCACACAGTCCAGCTATTGAGAAGTGACACTGCCTTGGAAGGTTTGGTTGCTTCTCTGTCCTGCTCTGCCCAGTTCTCTGTCCCAGGAGGAAAGGAGATATTTGTTTTACCCTGTGATCAGTAAGGGGTGTAATATCTGCAAATATTTGTCCATTTGTACTGAGTGTTCAGACCTTTCCACTTGTCATACATTCAACCTCAATTCCTAAGACCTTGTCCTTTGATATTCCCTATATGTCCTGCCAAATTGCCACTCAGTTCATGATAGAAGCCAGGAAGATTCAGAATCAGGAAAGATTAGATGTTCATAAGTCTTTCATTTTATTTCTCTTTTCAGTTTTAAAATAAATCAGCAAGCTCTAGCATCTAGTTGGGGTTTTAGAATGAATGAGGGAGCCAGGTGGGGGTAGTAAACCACTTTGATCTCAGCTCCTTGGGAGACTGAGGCAGGAGGATTCCAAGTTCAAGGCCAGACTGGGCAACCTAGCAAAACCTTATCTCAAAATAAAAAGTAAAAAGGTCTGGGGATGTAGCTTAGTGGTAGAGTGCCCCTGGGTTCAGTCAAGAGAGGATGGAAGGAAGGAAGGAAAGGGGAGATAATAAAGATTAAAATACCTCTTATTCCTTGTATGTATTAAATGCACAATATTTGATGATTGAAAGAAAGAAGAGGGGCAAAATGGGATGAGAAATAAGGGCTGAGAAGTCTGTTGTGGTAGCACACACCTGTAATCCCAGCGACTTGGGAGGCTGAGGCAGAAGGAGCATAAGTTCAAGACCAGTCTCACAACTTAGTAAAATTCTGTCTCAAAAAGAACCTTTTTTTTTTTTTTGGTACTGGGGACTGAACTCAGGAGTATTCAACCACTGACCCATATCCCTAGCCCTATTTTGTATTTTATTTAGAGATAGGGCCTCACTGAATTGCTCAGCCTAGCCATTGTTGAGGTTGGCTTTGAACTCACGATCCTCCTGCCTCAGCCTTCTAAGCAGCTGCAATTACAGGCATGCGCCACCATGCCCAGCTCAAAAACAACAATTTTTAAAAAGTGCTGGTCATTGATGTAGCTCAGTGGTAAGGCACTCCTGGGTTCAATACTCAGTACTGAAAAAATAAATAAATAAAAAGACAAATAAATAAATAAATAAATAAATAAGGACTGAGACCTAGTAAGTGGAGAGGGGCAAGATTAATGCCAGTCATATGTATGTTTGCACAGGGATGAAATAAAGAAAATGCATCTGTCCTAAACAATCTCCAACACTTCTAATGACCTACTGAATCCCATGAACATAGTCCTGGGTAAAACTTCTCTGCTATGTGGTATTGAATATCTGAAGTAAGCTTACATGATTCCTGAATCACTTTCCTCATACAGCACTTCAGAATAGTTACGGAATATTTGGTACATTATGTTATCATTGTTTATGAACATGAAAGTTTCTTTAAATTTTTTTTTTAGTTGTAGATCAACACAATACCTTTATTTATGTTTTTATGTAGTGCTGAGGATGGAACTTGATGCCCCACACATGCCAGGCAAGCAATCTACCACTGAGCTACACCCCTCATCCCTGAAAGATTCTTAATTAATAGGGGATTCTTCAGGTTTTTTTTTTTGTGTGTGTGTGTGTGTGTGAGTGTGTGTATGTGGTGCAGGGGATTAAACTCAGGGCCTTATGCATGGAAGGCAAGCACTCTACTAAATAAGCTATACCCTCAGCCTGATTCTTCAGCTTTTTGTCTAATTATTCAATATGCTCCCAAGACTTACACTTGTAGTTCTAGCAAAAGCTTTGAACTGTGATCCTATCCATATGGGAGAAGGCTTCCCAGCAGATTCGATCACCATCTTAGCATACTGGTAGACAGACCAACCCATAATATTTACCATTATCAATACTTTCCTCAGAGTGAGTAGATGAGTGCTGAGTTTATTCCAGCTTCCCTGAAGGACCACTACATCCTTAAGAATAACAAATATATTAGTATTAGTTCAACTAGTACTTAGTACTATCTGTCAATCCCTTCCTCCTCTTTATGCTTCTAAGTCTCAAGGTTGAGGGTTTCAGTGAGGTCCTTTTCTCCCACCCTAATAATCTGAAGCTGCAGATAGTGGGTCTCAGTTGGGCAATCAACCTCCTCCAGGCCACCCTTAGAGCTAAATTGGACAGGTACTCAGGCAGAGGAGCTAAGAAGGGGGCTGTGTGCAAGAGATCCTGGCAGGGGCTGGGATCTGGGAGAGGAAGCTGGCTGGAGAGTTCCTGTGTTGGGTGCTCAGTCTCTGTGAAAGAGGGCCTCATTCTGGGTACTTCTTGGAAAGCCAGCCACTGGGGACAGGAAGACACAGCAAAGGAACAGCATGGCTTAGGTCATAGTGGCTCAGTGGATCAGCCCTCTTGGAAAGAAGCAGTGCTCAGGTGGAGATGTGGGGAGAGAGCCATGATGAAGAGATATCAAGACTAGTCAGAGCTGGGAAGTATCTTAGCTCTTACAAACTTCAGTTACCCTGGACATAAGCTTCCTCTTCACCCTTACAAGTTGTGGGAGACCCTCACTGGTTTGAGGAAGAAAAGTGCTAGAGGAAGAAGATGGTCCAAACATTTCATTTGCTTTGATATCTTCATAATCTGAATCACTGTTGTTTTTAATTCCTTCTCCTCCCTTACTCCAGCCAGAATCATAAGGAAGCCGGAGAGCAGATGACTTCCAAAAGAGTGAAAGATAGAGCATTTGCAAATATTTATGCATCTTTTCCTGGCCCAGACTTTGTCCTTCTCATCTTTGCCCCATATTGACAAACTGACCTTTCCCCTTTTGGCTTTGCTGGTCCTGGCCTGTATCTTTGTTTTTCTAAGATTTTTACATTAGACCTATAATTGAGTAGGAAAGGTCCTCTGTATCTTCTGGAGGGGAAGAAAGGTAAGACAGAATAGCTGGTGATCAATTTTTTTTTTTTTGTACTAAGGATTGAACCAGGGGCGCTTAATCACTGAGCCACATCCTCAGTCTTTTTCATATTTAATTTTGAGATAGAGTCTTGCTGAATTGCTGAGGACCTTGCTAAATTGCTGAGGCTGACTTTGAACTTGCAATCCTCCTGCTTCAACTTCAACAGGGTCCTATTGGTTTAGGGTCCCACACTTATGACCTCACTTAACTTTATGATCTGAATTCATGATCTGAATATATATACAGTTATATACAGATACATAGTTTAAAGGCTATATATCCAAATACAGTCATATTGGGTATTAAAGCTTCAACTTATGAATTTGGGGTGGGAGGCAAAATTCAGTTTGAAACACGTAGAGACATTATTATGTATTACCAAGAATAAAAAGTAATAATAAATTTTAGGGGGCTGGGTTGTGGCTCAGCGGTAGAGAGGTGTTGGGTTTGATCCTCAGCACCACATAAAAATAAATAAATAAAATAAAAGTATCTTGTCCAACTACTATATATATGTATTTAAATAGTAAACTTTAAAAGGAAAGCAAAAATAAATAAAATCCAAGTCCTCAGTCACATTAGTAATATTTAAAGGGTTCAGAAGATATGTGTTCAGAAGATATTGAACAGTGCCGACATAGAATATTTTCATTGTATTCTAAAATTCTGTTGGACAGTAGAAGTCTGATAATCATATAGTCCCTAAGATTGTAACTGATTCTATTATGATATACCCCCAGATTCCTCCTCTTTTCTTCAATCAGAAGATCAGTATCATTCTGGAATTTCCACAAGGACTGTTATGATTTGTCACCTCTGATTTTCATATTTATGCATTATCATATCTCAGAAGACTTGCAGGACTGTATGGCTTTCTCCACATCTCTCCCTTTTAGCATCTAAGGCATCTGATTTTTGTTTGGTAAATTTAAACTTGTTGTAGTGCCCAGAGCTAGCAAAATAAGGTAAGCATATATGTGATTTAAGGAGTCACACAATTTTATTAAAATTTTTTTTGTGTCTGTTATTAGGTAAAAAGAATTCCCACCACCAGTATGGGTAATACAGGCTGTCAAAATCATAGTTGAATATATTCTATTTTGTATTATATCTGGAGAAGGGAATTGATGATTCTTTTTGTAGTGCTGTGGGATTATTATTATTTGGGGGGTTACAAGAGATTGAACCTAGAGGCATTTAACTGATGAGACACATCCCCAGTCCTTTTTTATTTTGAAACAGGGTCTTGCTAAGTTGCTTAGGTCCTTGCTAAATTGCTAAGGCTCTTTGATTTTGAAATCCTCCTGTCTCACCCTCCCAAACTACTGGGATTACAGGCATATGTAATCCTCCCCTACATTTTTTAAAAAAGAAATAAGTTCTCCCTGAGTTACTCAGACTGGTTTTAAATTCCTGGGCTCACTTGATCCTCTTGTCTCAGCCTCCTAAATAGCTGTGACTATAGGCATGCACCACTGTATCTGGATATTGGTAATAATTGTTAATTATTCTGTTTTTTAAGAATTGCCTGTTTTATAGCTATTAAACTAGCTGGTTTATTGATTTTAACACCACACCTACAGCTTGTCAAGAATTACTACATGTCCTTTCTGTGCCTAGTCTTTTTGTATAAAGCATAGGACTCTCAGGAATAATAATTAAGTCACAGATTTATGCTTTTGTCCTAGTGGTGCCTTGTATTTGGCTGAAGAAAATTGTATGTCATTTATATCGCAGAGCCTCTAGATGAAGCTATAGAGTCCAGAAGTTGGGCTGGTAGTCAACCTGCTCCAGGGTCAGTGGCAAGTCTATCAGGATCCCTGACAGAAGGATTAAGTGACTGAAGCTTTGAAGCTAGATAAGGCCTTTGAGAATAGGATCCAGCATAATCAAGCAGCCTCCCTGCCACCACTCCAGATGGGAGGAAAAAGGCACCAACCAACTCTTGGGCTGCAGTCCACATGAAATGACACCTAGAGAGTATAGGAGGAGACAGGAGCAGGTCATGTTTGGTCTTAAATGATGTCTAGCTGGATCAGACTATGCTAGAATGGGAATTATTTTCCTCTGGCTGTGCTCTGAAAAGAATCCAGGGCTCCGTTAAAGGACATCTCACCCTTTGAACCTCAGCTCCTATTCCTTTTTTTTTAAAG